CCTCTTCCAATATACTTCTAACCTCATCTATATTTAAATGTTTTGCTTCGGTAGCAGTAATGTTATCAGTTTCAAATGGGTGATTTTCCGAAGAATAAACCCAATCATTCATAGAAGGAGCTTTATGAGCCACCATATTTGCAAGCTCTAATTTAAGAATTCCACAAAAATCATCAAGATCTAAATCATTTTCATCTTTACCAAAAGGATTTTCAATTTCACTTGCTATCGCTTCAACACCCAATAAAGTTAAAGTACCAAAAAATGTTATAAGCACAGTGATCCAACCATTATCAGAAACCAATTGAAATGGAAGACTCAAACAATATAATCAAGTAGTTTGAGCCAAATGAATTGAATAAGCAAGGGGAATAGGAGATCTAAGAACTCTTTTTAAACTTGATAAACAATCAGTAAGAGTACATAAATTACTATACATGATACCTATAGTTGCATCATCAGTAGAATTATTAATTTTTTGTTGCCTAATATACGAAGATAAATAAAAAGAGATTTCAAGTGGTAAATTATGATTAACAATATTTTTAGAATCACCACCTAATTCACTTGTACTAGTAGAACTAGAAAACCATTTTTTAAAACCCGAAGGTTTCTTTTTATAAATACTTTTATCAAGTGGTTGAAATGCTGGAAGACTTGATTTTATATTTGTAATATATGGTTTTAAATCAGGATGATCAACTCCATCTTCTTCACGAAGATAATGTTTAACTGATATTGCAAACCCTAATAAAAGATTTATAGCAGTTTTTTTCTCAAGTAAATGTTTGGGTTCAGTTTCTTTGACATTTACCCAGATACAACGTGCTAAGTTTCGAATTGATACTACCATAGTTGACCATAGTCGACGACCTTCCCAATATCTTTAATATCAGAATTACATGTTATTTTATGTTATTAATAACTATAACAGATAAATAAAGAGTTTGTGTTTGAACATAATAACTACCTATCATAAGCGGTATTCGTTCGATAACCAAGTAATAGAGAAACAATGAAACCAATAATTGAAATAAAAGTTGGATTAATTGAAAGTTTAATATCCGTATATTGATAGAGAGCAGTAACGGCAGCTGATAGGGTTGTAATGAAGATAGTTTGAGGTAAAATTTTTGGAATAACTGAACCACGCCATCTGAATAGTGGAGATAATCTATTTCGGTATGGAGTGTAAATTTTTGGATTTTGAAAATGATCTTCGCAATGTTTTTCAGATTTTGAAGGCATTTTTTTTTTTTAATTTAGAAGAAAGAAATTGGAGAGTAGGAAGGAATTGGAGAATAGAGAGGAATTGGAGAATAGAGAGGAATTGGAGAGTAAAGAGGAATTGGAGGATTATGGAATATGATGGAGAATGATGGAAAAATTGATCACTCACCGGGAGTGATTTATCGAAATGTCAGTAATGAGAGTGGTTGAAAAGTTAAAATTACTTCCCTTTTGATATGGAAACAATTTCAAACTTTCAACGAAGAAAAAAAAACGTCAAAGGAAGAATGTTTATATACATACATATGCGGTCACATGAAGATACATTCTGATTGGTCATAATTTAAGATTGTTTTAAATGTTATTATTATGCATATAGACATAAAAAACAGTTACTGCGGTCCAATAAGTTTGGAAATTCGACCATTTTGTCCAAAAATTGACTATTTGTAAAGCATATAGCTATCACATTTAGTTACGTTCAATGAACTTAATTTAATTTCATTCATAAAAAAAGACAGTTTTTATTGTTACGATATTTGTAACTCGGGAGACTTCAAGAACACGGAACCCAGTGATGATCACGAATTATCCCTCGATATAATCACATATGATGTAATTACA